AAAAAAAAAAGGGGATTCTAACCTGATCTGGTTATTGCTGTTCTTTGTACAGGCTAAAGAATCTCCAGAGCTTGATTATAAGGCTATTGCATGTTACTAAGGAGCTTTGTGATGTACGGGAACATCAAGCAGACAGCAGAGAAAGATTTATAGATATAAAAGTTACCTATAGGCTGGAGACAATACATCAGCTTGACAAATATGCAAAAAATATAGGAGACACGAAAAACAAACAAACCCAATATGATATAACAATGGAACATTCAATTTAAACAAACTTCTTGAAAAGCTTTCATAAGCTTTTCAAAAGATCCCTTATTCTGATTAATCAGACACTACGATCAATCAAAAGGAAGGCGGGGCTTTCCACAAAGCTGATTAATCAGATTAAGAGATTTTAAAAAAGCTTTTCAAGGTTTTTTTTTTTTTAAATTAATAATATTATTATTATTATTTGTATCTTTTTTTGGATTTTAGGTGTGTTTGGTGGCAGTACCATCTCTAGCTGGCTGCTCTAATAGTTTTTCTAAATGGATTTTATTTTTCTGGATCAATACATTATCTTGAACAATATAATAGTTTTTTCTTTTATGAGCCGACATGTGTAAAGCAACTAAAAACACAGTATTGCACATGGCTGCCGAAACCAATATAGGAATATGAGAACGGTTTTAGGTTTATTGCAGAATTTGCTTTCAGCAGCACCTGGGGGTGCATTTGTCATATACACATCAGTCTGCTAGGCTACACCAATCTTTTCTCAACCAGGGTGCCACAGCATTCTGGGGTGCCTTCTGGTCTCTTTAGAGGTGCCTCAATATTTTCAGAGCATCATGCACTTCCATGGTACAGGCAGGCCCGGCCACCAGCATCATCATGGAAACGCATGACGCTATTCCAGAGTGTATGGGATCCATTCAGAATAATGGGAGGACGTTTGCCTCTGTCCAGGCCTGCTGCACCCATGCTACTGCAGCCTGCAATCTGATGTGGAGGTAGGATTTTGATGTGAAAGGGGGAGGGGACTTTAATATGAAGGGGGGAGCGGAGGACAACTCTGATGTAAAGAGGGCTCCAGCTGTGACAGGGGGAGGGAGGGGGGGCGGTAGGACTCTGATGTGAAGGGGGCTCCTAAGGTGAAGGGGAAAATCCCACATTGTTTTGACTGTGTTTTTGCATGGGGTTCCCCCTTAAAATCCATATTGCACCTCTATCTAGGGTAAGGATCTGGCATTGATTTCAGGAAGGGGGAGGCACGCGTAATTTTTTACACTCCTGTCTGGGGTCCCGAATGATTTTGAAGGGTGCCGTGACTGAAAAAAGGTTGAGAGAACATGTACATTAAATTAGGACCCATGTATTTTATTCGAGGTGGCTTCCACATTTTCACTTGCTGCTATTACAAAGCCTGATTATTGTGTTTCATATACAGATAAGTAAAACATTCCCCTCGTAATTTTGGGGAACGTGATATACGCTGAGTGGCCAGATTATTATGACCACCCCATCAGTACTTCGTTGGGCCCCGAGATGACTCCACGAGATGACTTAGTTGGGCCGCCTTGTGACTCCACGAGATGTTGAAAGGTAATGCGAGGAATCTGACACTGCACTGTTGCCCTTCTGTTGTCTGGTCCCAGTTTTGCCACTCTCCGTTCTGCCCTAACATTGACTAGTCGCTGACGGCCACAATTCACACGTTCAGACGCAGATTTTCGGCTGACAGCCCAGTCTTTAAACACTTTAACAATAGCTGCTCTTGAACATTTAACGAATTCTGCTGTTTTGCCGATACTCGCTCCATGGCTCCGAGCGCCAACAATCATCCCACGTTCAAAGGCTGTTAAATCGCATTGTTTACCCATATCTTCAGAAACAAATCACTTCTACTGTCGTGGTAAACAACCTGCTTCTCTATTTATAATGGTCTGGCCCTCTAGCAACTTCAGCGCTAAATTATAGCTAATTTGCCTACAAACGTCAGGTGCTCATAATAATCTGGCAACTCAGTGTATATACACCTGCTCAAAGATGAACTGCAGGGAAACATCTAAAATACAAAGTCAGGGTGCATTTCTTTACTGCAATTTACCAATACAGCTTTGACGACAACCTGCCTCCAGCCTGTGACAGAACAGCGAAGGAGAAAAAGCACACTGCTGTGGAACATATAGTGGGGTGGTGGGGGGTTCTAAAATGTAACTACAAAAGGTGAAAATACACTTTAAGGAATATCTGTAAAAAATAAATCAAGGCAATTGGACTTGCTATATTTTTCTTAAATATGTTTTGCTGTTCATCGGACAGCTTTCTCAATTCAGAAAGACATCATTCTGAATTGAGAAAGATAGCTCTCCAAGATGTTTTGTCCAAATCCAGTTGCCTTGATTTCTTTTCTACAGATATACCATGACCTGGATGAATGAGAACCTTCACAGACACTTTAAGGAATAGTTTTTATCCTGGTGCGATGGTACATCCGAACCAATAACGACATAATTAAGAGTGATTAGTGTTTTTTTCAATATATAGACTCTTTTATAAAAGTTTTATTATTATTGTGTATATAGATTTTTATTATTGTGTACCCGTGTTAAATATTTAATGCACCATTCAAGGAATGCAAATGGAAATTTTAGCTTTAATGACTGCTGAGATGAGCTTGGTTTTCAGTCAGGTCAGACCTGTCCCATAGACTGTACCTGGGAGAGAGGAGCAGTGCAGCATCTGGCTGCCCTCAAGTTTATGTATATTTACAGAATCCAGCGAAAGACAGGAAGTGAGCTGATTATTTTCCTATCTAAATATAAAAATCCCCTTTCCTTGCCGCCTTACCGTTAAACGTTTCTGCAAGAACAATGTCACTCTCACTGATATCCCCGATGCCAAAATGGACCAAGTTCAGTTCACACTCCTCATGAGCATCATATGTGTCAATGACATCAAGAATGGCTTCTAGTGACCCGTCTACATCACCTAGACAAAGAAATGGGGAAGGCATTGACACGTGTAAGAAATATGTTCAGGAACAAAGTTATAAAAGAAAACCTCGGATAGCGCACTGCAGTTCTATTCCATTGATGATGAGCTTTTAGGTCAGGTGGTTTCTGGCAGGAAAGGGCACTGACCATTTTATACTACAGTGGTGACCTAAAGCATGCACAGTACTGCAGAAGGGCTGACTCCCAGTATGGCAAAGGATTACCTAGCAGTAGGCTATGAAATGCCTGATGGGCCAATAGGTGGTACATACAATATAGTAAGACAAGTGTCAAGTATACAACACACAGCACAGTGCACAAAGTGAAGCAGTGTAGAATCTTTTATATACAGCACAGTGTAGTCACTGTGCAGATAACAATTTTCCACCCAGCTCCTTAGATTTTTTGAGTGACAGCTGAGTGGCGTCGGCAGGGCCATCTATGGCCCAAGTTTTGGCCGATTTGGCAGGAATCAGACAAAATTCGAGCTGTATATAGATAGCTTTAGGGATAGGCCAGCTTGTGTGGTCTCTTCTGTTCTGTAATTAAATCCTGTATCATCTAGAAAGGATGAATTAGATAGTCACCTTTTATTATAAGAGGCACCGTGGGATTGTCACTGCTCATCTTTTCCGATGGTCTATGAAATACCAGATGTCTGTTAGCTCTGAACAAGGCTGCATTTTTCTGTTTCCAGTTCATGCCATAGAAAGCATCCAAGGTCTTCCTATGAGTCTGCCTGTGCTCTTGTTGTTTAGCCGATATCAGCTCCAGGTCCTTGTTGAGTCTTTCCTCCTCTTCTACATGTGTCCTCCATTCCACAACTTCTCTGGCCCGTTGCTGGAACGTGTGAAGAACAAGTGGACAGTTATTATAAATAGAACCTTTGCAGCCAACCTATTCACCTTGTAACTACCGATAATGGTTTCCAAAGCTGCATACACACACTCAGACATTTTCATTTTCGTTCAGCCTCAGAGGCTGAATAAAAAGAATACAACAAATTCCTCTATCCACGCAAACAGCATGGCGGAACAAAGCTCACGCTGAGAGCTTTGTATTATGACAGCAGTGCCAGCCACTGCAAGGATACCCAAACAAGGCTGGCAGCCGATAGACTGCAAGCACCATTTCGCTGATGATTTTTCAGCATTTCCCTTCAGCAACAGTTATTCTAATGATCGACTTTTGTCCAGGGAATCGGGCCACCCACGGATCAATTGCTCTGTGTGTACCTAGCTTTAGACACAACTTGACTGGAAGACCAATCCTGGGAGAAGAGAACAATTAAAAGTGAACTCCAGGCAAATAGCTACATGTGACGTTTGATGCCATGTCTGTGAATTGTTTTACCTGCCAAATAAAACCTTTTTGTTTTCATTACATACTTTATTTTAGTGGGCGTGATTACATGTGACCACGTGACCGGTCACACATTCCAACCCAGTCACGATCTATGATAGAACACAGGCAGGTCATAGCTAGTCGGAGGCCAAACAGGGTGCTGCACGTAGCTTCCTGCCCCAGTACTTCTCTCAAGAGTCCTCAGCCCTGATACAAGCAGTGGACTGGTTCTTGGGAGGAGTTATCCAAATATTAAAATGACTTAATGGGTGGCTATCATGCAGATCACTCTAGATAATGTCCACATAAGATTCTGAGCCTCCTTGATTGAAGAGACTGAAATCCAATAAATAAAAAAGGAGCGGGCCAGGGACACTCAGGTTGGGAATGAAAACGCTAGAATATGCTGAATGTCTTCCAGCCAGGTAATGAGGCGAGCTTTCTCTGACTTGCTTCGAATTCTAATGAACACTATGAAAAGCTGAAGGTAAAGCTGGAGTTCAGCTTTATACAAAGCAGTCTGTGCAGGAGCCTAAACAATGAAGGAGCAGAAGCACATTGATCAGGTCATCCCTCTGCTCCCGTTCCTAGTGTTAAACTGACAGAAACGAGAAAAACAATAAAGGACTGGCTCAGAGAACAGACACCCCTAGGGGATCTCAGGAGGCCGATGATGACACAAAATGAAATACATGCGCTAGTTTTAGGTAACATACATTTCATGATTTTCAATAAACACAATAGACCGAGGGAAGATGGCTGTGGGAGTGCAGGAGGCCAAACTAGGGGGCAAGTCTGCCGTGAGGTGCAAGTATATTGTGTATATTTGTCTGTTATTGCAAATGCTCCGGGGGGCTGTAGTGACGTTGGTTCTGCTTTATATGTTGGTTTTATACTCTTAGTGTTCACTGTAAAACAATATGCTCAATGTATCTGTACAGCAGGATCAAGGTGCAGTTTACTGTACCTCAGATTCCACTTCCAGGATTTCATCCCCAGCAGATGGAAGATCTTTCCAGCCAACTATCTCCACGGGCCTGCTGGGCCCCACCTCACTCAGCATGGTGTTGTTTTCATCAAACATCAGCCGGACCTTACCCCAGGCCCTTCCTGCCACCAGCACCGCTCCCTTTCTAAGCGTTCCTCTCTGCACAATGGCTGTGGTCACTGGCCTGGAAAAAAGAGACGGCAATGTTTCAGATCACACATAGGATCATTTTCCATGTAGAACCAGGAAGCACTAAGACTTCACACTGAGAACAAGGCAGAGATCTGCTTGTCCTTCCTGGAGTTAGGACAAGATGTGTGTTCCCACTGTAAGGCTCTGTTCATAATTTTGCAGAAGCGACAGCATGGAAGCACATTGTTTTGTACATTGTGTATAGAGCAGGCCATTGATTTTAATGGGCTGGAGTGCACCTTTTTTTTTGAAAATGTACCACACCTAAATGAGTGGTACTTATTACCATGTGCTTTAATGTAATTTAATGCATGTGAAAGAGCATGGAGCAGCAAGGTGCGCTGGGGGCCATAAACAATAAATGGCACCGCAGCACATCTTATAGAGTCATAAGCATTTAGGTGTGCTGCAGCAACGCTCACCTTTCTGTACATTGCTGCACTGCAGATATTACCAGAGTCTGAGGACCTATATGGATGGCATCAGTTTGAGACGCTTCTGAGATCTTTCAGAAATCAGTGACCGGTGCATTAGACCCGCTTCAAGTGGATTTTGCATTCCCATTAGACTTGTATGGAAATGGAAAACTGGTTCATAACAAAAACCGGCCTGCACATACCCCAAATCAGATCTGAGGTGGCATGAATTCTATAAAGAAAAGGGGATGACTGCTAAGTGATGAGAGATTGTTTTATATGCTGGATAACAATCACTTCTTTGACTCCGAGTGCTTGTTATCATATGGGTGTTAAAACCGACCTAACATCAGTTATGGTTTTTTTCATGCCAAGTTCCTGCATGCTAATTAATGTGTACATGTAACACTTACTTGTATTTATTATCTTAGAGCTAAGTTTATGCCCTCATCTGCTTATCTCTCCATAATGACAGTGCCAACTTTGTTCTGGCATTATCCAGGGCCACTATGTACTTCATGGACTTAGATGTTGGCCCAGAGATGACACAATGTTAATCCTGGTGCATGTGCAGTTCTTTGCTGTCTTCAAAAAGGTGCCGCTGATGCAGCCACAGTCAATGGTCACTGGGGGAGAAGAGACTGAAAAAAACCTCAGAAATACCTGGGCAAAGTCAACTGACAAGAGTTCAAGCACCATTCTTTCCACTGGCCATCAATGTAAGGGGACCATTCTTTCCACTGGCCATCAATGTAAGGAAACCATTCTTTCCACTGGCCATCAATGTAAGGGGACCATTCTTTCCACTGGCCATCAATGTAAGGGGACCATTCTTTCCACTGGCCATCAATGTAAGGGGACCATTCTTCCCACTGGCCATGTAAGGAGACCATTCATTCAACTGGCCATCAATGTAAGGTGACCATTCTTTCCACTGACCATCAATGTAAGGAGACCATTCTTTCCACTGGCCATCAATGTAAGGAGACCATTCTTTCCACTGGCCATCAATGTAAGGAGACCATTCTTTCCACTGGCCACCACTGTAAGGGGGCATTCTTTCCACTGACCACCACTGTAAGGGGGCATTCTTTCCACAGAGTTCATAATGTGTGTGATAACCTAAATGTCAAGTGCACTTTCAGCAGCAACACTGCTTGGCACTTGTGGATTTGTGCCATGTCACAGGAAGTAGACAGCACCACACTTCAGTACATGTTTCATATACTGTATACCAGCAGAGCTCACATGGGTCTCTTTAAAAAAAAAAAAAAAAAAAAAAAAAGTGGCAAATGTCAAAAATGAAAAGCAGAACTAGATCTTGACACCTGTGAGTAGTAAAAGTGATTTGTTAAATTATGTTCTGTGCTGCTATAGGTTTACATGTATTGCCAGCATGGACAGTCTAAATTGGAATGTAGCATTGATAAAGAGTGAAATATATACCCCTTTCCTTTGTCTGTCCGGCATTCAATAATTGTTCCTTCCACCAAGCCTGAGGAGTCAGCCTTCAGCTCCATTACTTCTGATAATGTCACAATGGCTTCAGAGAGGGCATGAAGATTCTCCCCCTAATGACAAGTTATAAAGAGAAAACAAAATCATATTGTCTGCAAATGGAAGGGCTGTTATATCAATGTAGAAGAAATGACAGAGAATAATAACCACCACTCAGGTGTTCAGTCTCATTTTCTAATCTGTCCTTGAAAAACAATTACATTGAGAGTCAAGAAAAGTCTTTTCACCTTTAGCAACTCCTTAATCAACGTTCTTTACGGTTAGATCCTATGGGCTTTAGCGGTGGCATTGCAATAACCTGATAATGATTCTGCCACAGCTCTGGGGGTGTCACTGAAGGCGGGACCCTCCCCCTTCCCGCCCCCAGTGACATCAGCCCTAATAGTAGCCCCAGCCCCCCTTGGCCTCTCCCTAATAGTACAATAGCTCCATGTGTCATGACTGGTCTGGGTGTTTTGCAGAACAAATCTCCCAGTTGTAGTGCGACTACATCTCACGTACAAACCAGAGCCTCCGCAGACCACCAGACTAATGTCATTCAATTTAGGAGGATGGTTTTTGGTACTTGCACAATTTTCACTTTAAAGTTCGATTGGAGCCAGAGAAACAAATGAATCGATCTGATAGACACCGCACTGACAGTCCATTTTCCTAATCTCACCTTCATTGTCATGTTGCCTTAATATGACTGCGCAGTCCAACAGGAACCAGAGTTGGACGTTGCTGCCCACTGCACTCCATAATCTAACATATCTGGTCACCAAGACACCAAACTATGTAGAAGAACAAAGTCCTTACTAGATGTCTCCAACTTACAGGCAGATCTGAATGCACTGTGTGATTGGGCAACTATGTGGCAAATAAGGTGTAATGTTAATAAATGTAAAATTATGGACTTGGAGGTTAAAAACATGCTTCATACACTCTAAAAGTGGAGTACAACTAGGAGTGTCATAATCAAGAAGGATCTGGGGGTTCTGGTTGATCATAGACTGAATAATAGCATGCAATGACTAGCTGCAGTTTCTAAAGCAAACCAAAAATACTTTCTTGTAATAAAAGAGGTATAGACTCCAGAGAGAGTGAGACATAATCCTGACCTTGTACAAAGCATTAGTAAGACCTCATCTGGAAGATGCAGTTCAGTTTTAGGCACTAGTCCACAAAAAGGTCGGAGAACTGGAGAGAGTATAGAGAAGGACAACTAAACTGATAAAGAGGCATTGAGGAGCTCAGATATGAGGAAAGATTAAATGACTGAATTTGTTTTCTCTTGAGAAGAGCTGATTAAAGGGGGTGTATGATCACCATGTATAAATACACAAATGGTTGATATAGTAAACCTGGTGCAAAATGATTCACTTTAAAAGATAATTGCAAAGAACAAGGGACACTCTTTACATCTGGGAGGAAAAGAGGTTCAACCTCCAGATAAAAAAAAAAAGGCTTCTTCACAGTAAGAGCTGTAAAAATGTGGAATGGACTCCCTCGGAAAGTAGTCGTTGCCAGCTCAATCATTAAAAAAAAAGCTGGATACATTCCTAAATGCACAGAATAGAACTGGATATTACCATTTAGAAGTAATAACACCAGAGATTGTGGATCCAGTATATTTCCCATATCACTAAGTGATCAGAAAAGATTTTTTTCCCGTCGGCGCAAATTGGACCTTGCTTCAGGAAGTTTTGTTTTTGCCTTTCTCTGTAACATCTGTGGGTATACGGCTCTGTATATAGGAGGTTTTACATTTATTTATGTATTCATTTTTTCTATTGGTTGAACTTGGACATTCTGAACCTGACTATGTAACCTGGCCAGGCACACCCTCTATTCTTTAGAGCTACAAGTCTGTGTGAGGACACATGAGGACTAATTGGGTTACTCGTCTCTGCTAGCACAGCATGCTAGGACCAGCAGCTTCAATTTGACTCCTTTACTTTTAAATTAATCAAGTAATTGCTTTTTTGAAGTAGAAACATATACACACTGTATTAGCATTACCTTAAGCGCAGATATATTAATCGACTGAATGTCCCCTCCAAACTCCTCACACACTATGTCATGGGACAGAAGCTCCTTTTTGACTCGATCTGGATCAGCATCAGGCTTGTCACACTTGTTTATGGCCAGGATGATGGGAACTGCGACACAAACATACATTTAGAAGAGTCTAACACCAAAAATACACACAGAAGCTTTGTAATACCTTTAAATGCAGGTTGTAATGTTTCTGAAGGTCAGTGCCGGTTCCTTGCAACCACCACTTCTATAATTTATACAATCAGAACTGGGACGTAAAAAATGTAAATTTATTTTAACCTTTAATTTAACGTTATTGCACTTCAGTGGTGACAGGTTCTCTAAGGAAACATTAGGGGTCTATTATACCTCTAATGTTACCTTTGCAGCCCATTGAAGCTCATCAAGCAGGGATTTGGGGAGGTGGGGGTGCATGTTTACCAGCTCTTGGAAGCAATCAGGCAGCTTTACAGCTGCCAGAATCACTTCTAGTGTATGGCAATAGTCAGCTTTACACAGGTAAGCAGTCGTGGCAGCTAGTTTGTTTACAGGTATGACATACGTCGGTGGCAGTGAAAGGATTAAAGCAAGACTCCAGGCAAACAGCTAAATAAACAGATGAAATACATATAAGGGAGCCATTTACAAATTATTTACTCTAATTGTCCACGGTCATCAAGACAAAATTTGGAGGGAAATTAAAAATTTTGCTTTGCAACCAAAACAGTCAGACTGGAAATCTTCCAAGGGGACACTTGTTCCTGTGACAATGACCTAAGAGTGCATATTCCCTCACAAGACAAGAAGTGAAAGGATGTAAAAAATGTCTGTCTCATATCTCCTTCACCATGTTGGTCTTATCACTACGGTCCCACCAGTATTATTCTGTCCCATGCTGGTCTTATCACTACGGTCCTACCAGTATTATTCTGTCCCATGCTGGTCTTATCACTACGGTCCTACCAGTATTATTCTGTCCCATGCTGGTCTTATCACTACGGTCCTACCAGTATTATTCTGTCCCATGCTGGTCTTATCACTACGGTCCTACCAGTATTATTCTGTCCCATGCTGGTCTTATCACTACGGTCCTACCAGTATTATTCTGTCCCATGCTGGTCTTATCACTACGGTCCTACCAGTATTATTCTGTCCCATGCTGGTCTTATCACTACGGTCCTACCAGTATTATTCTGTCCCATGCTGGTCTTATCACTACGGTCCTACCAGTATTATTCTGTCCCATGCTGGTCTTATCACTACGGTCCTACCAGTATTATTCTGTCCCATGCTGGTCTTATCACTACGGTCCTACCAGTATTATTCTGTCCCATGCTGGTCTTATCACTACGGTCCTACCAGTATTATTCTGTCCCATGCTGGTCTCATCACTACGGCCCTACCAGTATTATTCTGTCCCATGCTGGTCTCATCACTACGGTCCTACCAGTATTATTCTGTCCCATGCTGGTCTCATCACTATGGTCCTACCAGTATTACTCTGTCCCATGCTGGTCTTATCACTACGGCCCTACCAGTATTATTCTGTACTATTACCATCTCTCACCATTAGCTTTTTTGGCATGCTGAATAGACTCCACTGTCTGCTTCATTACCCCATCATCAGCAGCGACTACTAATATGATAATATCGGTCACGTTTGCCCCTCTCTCCCGGATTGCTGAGAAGGCTGCATGTCCTGGGGTGTCGAGAAATGTAATCCTGTTCCCTGAAGGTAAATTCACTAAAAAAAAAAAAAAAAAAAAAAAAAAAAAAAAAAAAAAAAAAAGCAAAACAACTAAAATTGGTTCAAAGCATATTACACTAAAAAAGTGACAGTGTACAGTATAGAATCCAAAACGCTTTAGCTTTGGAAAGAGTGGTGAGAGATTTGAACGCCTGTCTGGTTCTTTTTGTTGTCTCTCCATTCTCCTAGTGATCACTCCACTGGGATTGAAAGTGCACAGACAATCCAACATTTTGTGCTTTTATAAGAAAAGGAATAGAAGGGGATTATTACAATGGGAACACTTGTTCTAGTTGCAAAGAGTCTAAGAGTGGAATTTTCCTCACTCTATGGAAAATGTTGTCTACCCCTCTTCACCGGTATATTGGTCTTTACAAGGAAATAAAAGATTTTCTTATGATTTTTTTTTTATGCCGCTAAAAAGTAATTACAAAAATGACAAAATATCTAATAAATCAGCATTGTGCAACACAACTCGTCTCACCACTAAACGCGCCAATGTGTTGAGTGATGCCACCAGCTTCCATTGCTGCTACCTGAGTTTTGCGCAGCTGGTCGAGGAGAGTTGTTTTTCCATGATCCACGTGACCCATTATAGTTACCACCGGATTCCTGGGCACTAGAACAGAAGGATCTGGATGGGGCCTAGAAATTGGAAAACAGAACAAATAAAATGTATTCAGAGATAATATAATAACATTCATGAAACTGCAACAAACTGATCTGCCACAATGAACAGCCTTTTCCTGTAACCTCCATGAGTCCGCATACGTTTGCTGAGCATTATCAGTAAATGTGAAGGAAAAGGGGGTCTGCATGTCTTTGTCTTGAGATGGAAGCAGCTGGGCAGTCCAAGATTATTCCTTGTTGATAAGAACAGCATTAATGATGAGGGTAAATGAAACCTTAAAGTCTGAACCCAGTATTGCAAATTGGCATTTGTTCTTAAAACTGTACATACAGTATTTTTACAACTACCTAGGGGGTGATTTATAAACCGTTTGCACAGTGAACAAGATTTGCAGTACATTACGCCACTGGATGGAGCTAAGGAATTTCCCATGCTCCTCAGCTCCACCTAGAGGCCAAGATGTGCTGCGAATCTCATTTGCAGATCTGTTTGCAGTGTCAAAGTTTTATAAATTAACCCCTATGTGTATCCAGGTGAATATTACCTTGTTTTTTTCATGATCAATTGGGCCTTCATTTAGTGGGAACATTACATTGTTCTCTCCTAAATTTGTTTTATTATCACTTTAAATATACAAAGAGATAAATATGTAAATCTTACTATTGTATATGATCTGGAGAGGTCTGAGATAACTAAGGGGGTGGCTATAATATTTTCCAACATACAACAAATTAAATATTACATCTAAGCAAACCTAAAATATCAATTATCCAAATATAGAGAAGGAGAGGTAAAAGGCTAACCCAAAGTAGGGAGTACATAACGTTATAGGCTGGACATCACTATAGTATGCTGGACTCTACATCCTGTCTCATAAAAGGCTGTGGTGACACTGCAGAAAGAACACCATGATTGGAGGAGAGGCTGGTCACATGACTGGGCTTTCCTTATTCCGGCTCTTTTTTTAAACATTTTGTTATTCAGGAATCTGAAGCATCATTGTGTTTTCTAAATATGTTTTTTTTCAGGCCAGGTTGTAATGCTGCTTAAATAACCGTATAGTCTGCATAAAATCCCCAGCACTTAGGGCCCGTTCACACCTCTGCATGGCGTTAGTCGCATAGTTCGATGAAATTAACTCACGCTATCACGCAATGTACCCATCATGCATGCACTTCTTTTGTTCACCACACTGCAAGGTATTGTGGTACCGCATGTTGTGGTTCCTGACAGCACATTGCACTGGGAGGTGCATTGGAGGCGCCATTCAAATAAATGGCAACACAATGCAACAGCCGCACTGTAATGCCCAGTAGGTGCGTTGCGCGATAGCGTGTGTAAATCGCACAAAACCATGCAATGAACGGGATGCAGAAGTGTGCAAAGGCCCTTGACCCCGCTTCCCAGCGAAGGAAACGCATGTTCTGTTATCTATAGAAACAGTGTAGCGTTGTTTAAATAGAATAATTTGCTACAAAGTATTTATCACTTAGTATCAGCTGCTGCTCTATTAGCTAGCAAAGTGCAGACGCATAAAAACCTATGTTCCGTTACCTGACGCATCAAATCCCATCCTCCAATCAAGTTCCAAAGATGGAATAATTAAAGTGGAATTCTAGGCAAACAATTGAAAGGTTAGCTGGTTCACAAGCCAAAGGATTTGTAATTTTGGTGCGTTATTCACGTGGTAGTTGGTAAGATCCCTCTGCGACTTTCTCAGTTCCTTGCCGAGTGGACAGAAATGAATTTGCTCATTCACTGTCCAATGAGGAGGAAGGAGGTAGAGAGGGGACACAAGAAGCTGATATAATGAAGCAGGGAGAAGTGCTTAAATAAAAGTGTTGGCTTGTCTGGCTGTAAAAATGTGTAAATCCCACGACTGGCAGTACAGAATTACAAACTGGCAGGTAAAACAGTAAACATACACGTACTTCAATGGAGTCTTTAGCGGTTTGCCTGGATTTCTTCCTCTGCTCTAATAAAATAAATACCTTTTTAAAGCATCAATATTTTCCTTGATTTTTTCTGTTTTATTTTGTCCCACAAACAAGAACTTCATTCCACATTTCTTGATTACTTCTTTAATTGCATCATCACTTAGCATTGTCGATGGTTTTAATGAGTCCAAATCGTGGTCCGTGTACAGGAGAGCCTCAAAAATGTCATCTAGAGAACCAAAGAGTGAAAAAGTAAAGCAAAGAGCACATGGACACAGACAGCATACTGACAGCAGCAGATGAGAGCAGCATGACAGATACTGATAAATATAATGATTGCATTGGGCCAAAGTGACCATCACGTGATGACATATGTGCACAATACGGGAACAAAGTCATGTCTGTGCTCAATGCAGCATGAACATGACCTGTGCAGGCTCTCCCACACATTGGGGGGAATTAATCAAAACTGGAGCAGACAAAATCTGGAGCAGCTGTGCATGGCAGCCAATCAGCTTCTCTCTTCAGTTTGTCAAGTTAAGATTTGAAAATGAAAGAGAGAGAATCGGATTGGTTGCCGTGCACCGCTGCTATAGTTTTGATAAATTCCCTTCAGTCTTTTGTGTTCACTGAACTCTATGCTAAACGCTCAGCCTACTCCCTGACTTCTTCCTGTACACCTTACTGACCCCCAACTGCTGCCTGTACACCTTACTGACCCCCAACGTCCGCCTGGACACACACACACACTAACCCCAACTGCTGCCTGTACACACACACACACACACACACACACACACACAGACCCCAACTGCTGCCTGTACACACACACACACACACACACTGAACCCAACTGCTACCTGTACACACAACTAGAGCGTATCCACACACATCCCAACAGCTTGTATACTTTACCATAACTGCACACATCTACCATGACTGCATACTGCATATACCCTAACCGGTAGGCTTGCACTACAACCCCATGGAATAAGAATTTCCATAGGAATCCCAAGCGAGTCAGAAAAGGAGCAACTCACCGATATCCTTATTCATGGCTTTTGCCAGCAGAGTCACTGTCATGTTGTGCCATACCTGCACCACTTCCTTCTTCTGTTTCGGTTTAATTACTGGCAGCTTTTGCTTCACCTTTTCTTTTTCCTTTTAAAAAAAACAAAGCAATAATTAAGGAAAATATGAGAGCGGACGAAAATGTAACTTCTGTTAAAGGAAGATCCTAGTACATCTTAAAGCTGAACTCTAGACAGATACATGTACACCAAGTCAGTGCAGCGGTCTGTGATTGAAACCTTGTGAAATGTACTTTTAGATGCAGTCAGTGTAAGTACAACAACCTCTCCTGATATCTGCCTCATGTAATCCCCTGTACAGTAACACCCAGACTGCTGCTCCTTTGTCTGATCAGAGGTTGGGGCTGAGAGGCGATGAAGCTCTATTGCTTAAAGCAGACCCTCACTC